TCAAACAGCGAGACTGCAAACAGTTCTGTTCAACTATCCAACCAAAACTTAGTAATATGGTTATCAATCCTATACACTTAAACATACATGCAGTTATCCATATCTTCATTTATGTTCAGATTAAACAAACCATAGCAGGCTAAAATCACTCTGAACAAAGAATAATAGTATTGCTGGATTTCACATCATGACATTACAGGATCAGCACTGGGTACTGTAGTGTCTCTTTTTCTTCAAAGTATTTGTTCATTTCATCATGCATTGTAAGATCAGTTTTTGTAAACTGTTTATAGGTTCTACACATGCATGAGTCTTGACATGTATTTCTATCCTTTCTATATTAGAGAAACAAAACAAAGCAAGACAAAACAAAACATATTCCTATAAACACATGAAATGAAAAAGACATAAAACCACTGTACAAGGAGTTCTTCAGCGGTTACTTGATAGAACTGTGAAGGGAGGAAGAGGAGAAGGACTGGCGGTGGCTGAAAAGATAAGAAGTATAAAATATAAGTAACCTTTATTTTGGGAATGCGGGGAGAGACACCCCCGACCCCCTGGGGCATGGCATCTCCACCCCGGGGTCCAACGATCTCTCCGATCTCTCCGTGGAACACGTGGAGTGAGGCACATAAGTAGCCTCGGCCTGGGGTGGAACCTAAGGGGCATTAGGGATGCACAGGTAGCCCATTGGTCTTAGTTTGGCGCCAGAGGTAATTTCTAAGGGTAGGGGGAGATAGGAGCTCCTTGGCTTTGCCGGCTACAGTATCCGGCCTGGGCCAGCAACCCTTTCATTACTGTGTTGTCTCTTGTTATATTCAATAGAATTGCCTATATCATCAGACAGTATAATTGAGTATAGCAGTACATAACAATATTAATAAAAACAAAACTTTGTAGATAGTGTAAAACTTCAAAAACAGGTAATAATCAAATCAGAATGGGTATCGTAGTGAATCTTGTCATCTTCAGTGTTGTTGCCTATACTCTCAGACTTGATACTATCACTCAAGTTTTAAATAAAATCTGTTGATACCAAACAGCAATCAAATAACCCAGATTTAACTAAGATCAGTCATGATAAAACAGCATAAGTTATACAGGGCTCCAGATTAGGTTAATAGGAAATTAAAGATGATTATTGTACTATATCCTGTTATTTTTGGGAAAGCTATCTGTGCCCTCAAATCTAATGCAAGTAGACAAACTGGGACAGAATAAAATCTATCTAAGCAGAGCGGTGTGAGTAATGTGGGTTTTAAATCCTGATACATTATTAACAATATCCTCTGCTGTCTTTTTAAGACTATTCCTCCCCTTTCATAGGGTGCACTATGCATTTTTGGGTCTCACCAACACCCTCAGTTTTTAGATTGTGGGGACGACCTGCTATTTACCTAAGTGGTTCCAAACCTTCTCCTTCCTGGGCTTGATCTCTAGTTGTATTCCTTTACCTACTAAAGCCTATCTTTCCTACTGATCCACAAATACTGGTCGGGTTGCCCCTATTACTCTCTGGTTCTCTGGTCCCCACATAGACCACTGTTTTCTCATGTTTGATTTTTGGTCCATAAACCCTTTTTCAAGTTAATTATATTTCCTATAAAGAACATCTTGCTGGATCCTACCTCCTGATCTTCTCTGTCTGTGTTTCTCTCTTTTTTTTAGTGTATAAAGGCCATCTATATTAGAGATTATAGCCAACCTTCTCTCCTTTCTGTTGTGCTCTTTTTCTGCCATTAGTTGTCTGCTTTTCTTTATCGTTCCACTTTCTGCTCCATTCATTGAGGCCTCTCTGCCACTGTTCCTGGAATCCTGGTACTTTTCTCTCTCTCTAGAATGTCCTTCAGTATTCTCTGTAGAGTTGGGTTGGTGAATTCCCCAGTTCCTCTTTATCTTCGAAGCATCTTATTTCTCCATTAATTTCTAGAGACAGTTTTGTAGGTTACATCAATCTGGATTGGAGGTTATTTCAGGCTTTGGAATATTTCTCTCCAAGCTCTTCTTGACTTGATGGTTTGTGTCAAGAAGTCTGCTGTAATTCTGATGTGCCTTCTTTTATAGGTGATCTGTTTCTTATCTCTAACAGCTTTTAATATTCTGTTCTTACATTGAATTTCTGGGATCTTGATTATTATATGTAGCTCTGTTTTGCTTGTAGGTGGCTAGAGTTCTATATGCCTCATATATCTGAATATCATTTCCTTTTCCTATGTTTGGGAAGTTTTCCTTAATTATTTCTGTGAATAGCCTTTGTAGTTCCTTTATTTATACACCTGCTTCTTCATTCACATTCTTTATTTTTAAGTTATAGATCCTCTTGTCGTCTTCTAGCCTTTGTATTGTTACTGCTTGTTTCCTTGTTTTTAAGAAATTTTTCCTTCCATGATCATACATTGCAAACCTATCTTCTAGTTTGGACAGTGTACCCTTAGTTTCTTTCAAGCAGTTTTGCTAGCTTTCAGTGGAGTTTTTTTATATCCTGATAATCTCTTTGAACCTGCTTCATGTATTCTATGTTTTCTTTTTATTCTTCATCAAACATTTATCTCCTTTTTTTGTGTTCCTCCATTCTCTGTCTGTGTCTTCTTGAGAGGTGCTTAGCATTTCTTTTATTAATCCACTTATATCTTGCTCTACTTGGTTAAATATTTCACTTTTGAACTCGTTTATGAAGTCCCGAAGAGATCCACTGAGGCTGTGTCTGATTTTGCATGTCCACTGATGGTGTGTCTGATATTGCATGTTTGCTGTCCTCAATCTCTTTTGTATTTACTTCTCCTAGATGAATGTTCTGGGTGCTGGGGGCTGGGAGCTTTTTCTTGTTGCTTCCTTTTGTCATATTTTTTGTTTCTTCCATACAGGCATATAGAGGAGGTCCCAGCCCCTTTCCTTGTTGGTTACAGTTTTTCTGAAGCGTGCTGGCTAGGTGATCCTGCCCATTCCAGTGTGTTATTGAGGTGCAAACAGGGGCGGCATATGCTGGCTCCTACCTGCTGTCAACCTCAGCAGTCAACCTGCTGAGGCCTTCACTGTGATAGTGTGCGCAGTGCATAGAGAATTGATTTGGGACAGTTTATTGGGTCTCAGCCAGGGGTGTGACCTGGGCCAAGCATACCCCACCAGTCTCGTCTGGGAAGGGAACAACTGACTAAAGTCACTGCTGTTGTTTTTTTTTGCCAGTCCTGCCTGATTCCAAAATGTCATCCCATTGGTGCCCCTTTCCTATGGAAGGGTTTTATTCCTGGCACTCACCGCAGGTCAATGCTGGTCCCTTGTTGGCTCCATTCTTGTTGGGCTTGCCGACCTCTGACTTGTTTTGAGTTCTAGAATTTTGCATATAATATTCAGTGCAACTGCACTTCAGTGCACTGCAGTTCCAGTGAGTCGAAGCAGCAGAATTTGGGCATGCGAGAGCATAGTATCTTAGCTACCTCAATAGTAGCCCCAGGACTGCATGTTTGACTGGTTCTTTTCACTTTAGTATCTTCCTGGGTTGAGAGGATCCATATCCTTCTGTCCAGGAATCCCTACATTGTGTTGTTTGGCATCTGAGTTGTCTGTCTCAGGGAGCCTCTGTATTCTGCTCTTATCTATCTGCCATCTTTACCGGAAGCTTGTCTCAATTGGTTTTATCATGTTCTGTTTTTGGTTTGATCTTGCTATACCTAATTGACTGGACAATTATTGTGAAGATAATGAGATATACCATAGTACCTATTAATACCATCCCAGTATCCTGCTATGAAGTTCTGTACCAATTTCATTGCATTGTCTTGATTGACTTTGTTCTGTCTTGCTCTGTTGTATTTTTACTACTTTCACAATAAAATTTAAAAAAAAGGAGCAACTGTGAGGGAGCTAAGTATGGGAAATTTAAAAGCTTGGGAGGAGGAGTTTACATGTTCAGAAAAAGAATAAAGAAGTGTATTAATACATATTATCTTAGGGGTTTGATACGAAGAAACTAGATAGGAGGCTGAGGCAACAAAAGCAAATACATAAAATTAACAGTCTAATAATCAAAGAAACCATAAAAGAACATAAAATAGACCCACATTACTAAATAAATCAAGAAACATACAAAAACAAGGCCAGGGATTTAGCTCAGTGGTATAAGTGCCTGCCTGGCAAGCATAAGGTCATGAGTTCAATCCCTGGTATCAAAAAAAACCAAACCAAACAAAACAAAAAAAGAAACATACAAGATGCCTGATGGGAACACAGGTTAAATGTTACAATGAGGCATTGCATATGTGATTCTCAAGCAGGTTCTTTGCCAAAGAGTCTTGAGTGCTCGCACCCCAGTCATCCTCTGATCCATATACCACAATACTGAAGCTAACTCAGATTCTTTTTGCCAGGTTGGAAGCATTCTTGGAGACTGTTTTTGATGTAATTTTTCTTGTTACTGCTTCTAAACATACAACATGCCCTTCCAGGCATTAGGGTCTTTTCCCCTTCCTATTTCCTCTATCCTGGTTTATGTTTTTTCTCTTAAGAAGTCTTCTTCATTCTTATCTTTGTTCCTCTCTACTTTTCATATCTGCTTTTCCTCTGGGTGCTTTAAATTAAAGTATTTATTCTTATTCAAATTTGAGTTTCTTAACACTTGATTGACATTTAATAATTCTTCATATATGGTAGAAATATATGAGGAATGCTCTTAAGCTTTTTATACTTTACATATTTGTTCTTTATACTTCCTGTTTCCAAAGAGTTTGCAGTATAGATGAAATGCATATTCTTTTTCAGTAAAATAAAATAACCTGGATCTGGCGATCTTTTGTTTGTTTTGAGTTCTAGAATTTTGCATATAATATTACCAAAAATTTCCAACTTGTATGGTCTTTGGAAAGTTAAGTACTACTACTAAACCACTATCTTCTTTATGTGATATGTTTAAGTTTGAGTAGGTAGGTAGAGATATTTGTGGGAATTGGAACTTATCCTCTATTAATTAAAACTTCAACATCTTACCTTCTCTCTTTTTATAGTATCAACGCTGTAGAATCTGGGACAAGTTGCATGAAGAGCATATCAATGCAGGACGTACAGTTCAGGTAAGGCTATTATATTCTTTCTGGTACATCGATATGAAAAAGACAACCTTAATAAAATTTTGCTAAAATAATATAGGTTGAAAGCTAGGGGTTAGGGCATATACTTGTAATGCCAGCAGGCAGGAGGATTGCCTCAAATTCAAGGCCGACCTGTATTACATACTAAGTTCAGGATTAGCCTGAATGTCTAGTGAGACCTCATCTCAAAAGCAAGCAAAAAATTGTATAAAATAATACATGTTGAGTACCCCTTATCTGAAATACCTATGACCAAAGGTGCTTCTGATTTCAGATTTTGGGGGACATTTCCATATACCCAATGATTATTATGGGTATGACACTTAAGTCTAAACATGAAATCTATTTCACCTTTTGTCTTAGTTACTTTTTACTCATTGCTGAGACAAAATACTTGAAGCCCAAAGCTGGGAAAGGAAAGGTTTATTTCTTACAGTTTTTGGAGGTTTCAGTCCTCACTCAGTTGACTCCAAGGCAGGCGGGCATGGCTGGGCCGCGGTTCACGGTGGCTGCTTCATGGTGGCTGCAAACAGCAAGCCAGAACCGGCAAAGAGCAAGACACACTTTCTTCCTGCCATTACATCACATCCTGGCTCCACCCCTTTATGGGTGTAGCACTGACACCATCAATCCAAGCACTAGACAATGAACGAATAACAAATGCACAATTCAAACTCATGAGGCCTGGGGGACACAGACATAAACCATGACACCTTTTAAACATAGGGTAATTTTCTAAAATATTTTCAGTCCACTTGTGTTTTGATTGTAACTTGTTATATGAGGTCAGATGTGGAATTTTCTATTTGTGGCTTCATGTTGATGCCTAGAGGGTTTTATTTCATATCACCAAATTTTCTTCTGAAAGTACAACATCAACTTATACTCTCACTGTCAGTACATTTTCTAAATATGTACCCTGGTATTATCCATTTCTCAAATGTTCGCTGATTAATTAGTTTAGATTAATTTGATGCTACTTTTTTTTTGAGACAGGGTCTCACCATGTACTTCAGCTCATTTTATAGCCCAAGCAGGTCTCAAACTTGCCATGATCCCCCTGCCTCAGCCTTCCAAGGGATTACAGGTGTGCACCACCATGCCTGGCATAACTTTGTTATTTGAAGTTGTCTTTTTTGTTTTTACTTCTCTGAAGTTGAAAAGGTTTTTTTCACGTACTCCCTGGGAAATAATATTTCATAACTGTTGTCTGTTTATTTTCCTGCATATATTATGTAGATGTCTTTTGTACAAGCTCCTTATAATTTGAAAGATTTGGACCTTCTGTTTTTATGTGTGACCTCTTACTTTTTGTGGAGTTAATAATTGCCTTCCTTGCCTTTTTTTATAGTATTGGGGGTTAAACCCAGAGCCCTTCCACTGAGCTTTATCTCCAGTCCCCTTCCCTCTTTTTAATTTTTATTTTGAGACAGAATTTTGCTAGGTGCTTAGGTGGGACTTGAATTTGCTTTCCTTCTGCCTCAGTTTCACAATTGTTGGAATTACAGTGTCTACCACTGCATCTGCTTCATTTTTTACAGTTGATTGGCTTGCTGTGTATTTGTTTTATTTTTTTGACTGCACCATCTTCGTTGCATATCATAAATATTCTTCGTATGCTCAGATATATCCATTCCATTCTTTATTTAGAAAATTCCCTCCTGAAGCCCTTCTTCCTCCAGCTCCTCTGGGACCTCTCACTCTCGGCTTGCTGCATACCTTCAGTGGGATTTCTTGTGCATACTCCCTTACATTAGGCCCCTGTTTTCCTAGATATTATATCTTCATCATTTTTTATTTAATGTATTACTTTGCTAGAGTAATCCTTCAGCACCTAGGTTAATATTTAAGTAATATATCCAAAAATGCCTTCATTCTCCCTTCATATAATTGCTAATTTCACTAGATATAGAACTCTATTTAGAATTGTCTTTTAGTAGTTAAGGCTCTCCAGCTCTTTTTTTTACTCTTTTAAAAACTGATATCTGATTTTCTATTTTCACAGTCTTTGCATAGGACCCCTCCTTGGGAGCTTTTGTGGTTGTTTATCTCTGGTGTTCTGAAATTTGTGCATTGTCTTGGACCCTTTTGCTCTAAAATTTTTTTTTTTTAGTTTTGGGAAATTTTCTTTGATAGTTTATTCGCCTCTATTTCTTTCTTTTTAAAAATCTTCATGTGTAAGGGTCAGAAAACTGGCTCAAGGCCACATTTGACCTTCCATCAGTCCCAATTCTTAACATATTTTTTTGACTGCTTTCATACCACAGTGGTAGAGTTGAGAAGTTACAATAGAGACTTTGCATGCAAAGCCCATGTATTTATAGTCTGCCCTTTACAGAAAAACTTTGCTCATCCTTGTTCTATTGAATTGTTGGGTTGCATGTCTAATTTTATATTTTCCTTTTTTTTGAGAGATTTTCTTAGCATTGTCTTCAATTCCTTATACTGAATTATTTCCACTATTATCATATCTAATTTACTAGAACTTTTCCACATTCATTTTCCCCATTTTTATACCATTTTTCATGGTTATAATCCCTTTTATTTTTCTAAGATATTAAAAAGCTGATTGACCATCTTCTGGTGGTTATTACTTAAAGGTAGTTTGGCAAGCTGGCATTTTTCTTAGGAAAATCCCATAACATCAGTATCTTGAAGTTGGTGTGGTTGAGTTTTCTAAGGGTGAATCCTCATCCTCACCTTGGGGCAGGCAGGTTTTATGGAGCTGTATAGGCAGGTTAGACAAGGCAGCCAGGCTTTCATTGTTCAAGACAGGCTTTCACATAAATCTCTGCTTTTAGCTTTGTGCATGGAGTTTCTGGGTCAGTTTCTTCAAAGAATGCATTGTCCTCTTGATTTTCAAAACGGCTAGTATAGCTGTGGTGTAGTAAACAGATTGGGGCAGAATGAAAAATGAATGCAAGAGATCATTAGGAAAGGTTTCAGAGATCCAGGAGGTATACATATAGCTTAGTGATAAGAGACAGAGAAGGACAGATTGATTTGAGATTTAAATGGAAATATGACTTATCGATGTAGGTGTATATTTCACTGTTTGCTAAGTAGATCATAGGCCTAAGGAGCAAGGACTGTGTCTTCACTATCTATTTATTCCACAGTACCTGATTCCTAGCAGGACTGCTTGGTATTGAGCATGTTAATGTTAATGTGAATGAGATTATTATGACTTGTAATTTTTACAATCTTCACTGTTTAAAACATCATTTAAAAACCCCATGATTTGTTTGAGATATTGGCTCTGGTTAAAGCATTTGTTTATTGATTTTTAAAAGCACATATATTTACACTATCGACCTCCATCTGCCACAAGGTTTGTGTGTGCCATTAAATAAAAAGATAAAAACTATTAGATATAGGGATTTGTTTAATTTTAATCATATTTGTCCTGAATTTTGTGTTTAGGCTTGTTCTTTGCTAATTTGTGTAAGTTATTTTTAGAAAAACAACTTCTTTGAGCACTTATCAAAGATTTTTCCAAATTTATCGCTGTTAAATTCATGTAAGAATTACTTTTTTTAACTTTCAAGTGGTACTTTTTTTTAAGAAAAGGATTACTTAATTTATGTTTTTCAATTAAAATTTTTTATTGGTACATGTTTGCAGTACATAGTGAATACATTCCTTGTGGGTACATGTACATAATACCTTAATGTCGGTTTTTGTGGTTAATGCTTAAGCAAATTATTTACTATCTTTGAACTTTAGTTTTCTCAGCTGTCCACCTGGCATAATAGTCTGTAATTTCTGGGATGGTTGTAAGGATCATTAATGATGTCTGCCAAGGACCACCACAGCCTCTGTCAGACAGTAAGAAGAATTACTAAGAATAAGTTTGATTTGATGTTTCTACTTTAATTACTATATGACTATAAATGGTATTGATTCTTTGTTTAAAACAGAGTATAATTGCATTACTTCCCCCCATTTTCACCCTGTTGTATGAATTTGTCATACAAAAGTATAATATATATGTTTTAAAAGCTTGGTTTCCTCTGCCTTCCTCCCCAAATACTTAACATATAGTAACAACACTGTTTGATACTCCAGGACTCTGAAAAGTATGTCATAATTTCTACCTTAAAGGAACTTAGCTACTCATTCAAAAAAGTTAATTAAGTATTTAAATAGCAGTTTTAAACTCTATTGTAAGTCAGAATATGACTGTCATGTATCAAAGAAATCAGTAAATGATATAGCGCTATCTATCTGGGTGCTGGATAAAGGAGTGTTATCTTCATTATTTTTGATGAGAAGGCTGAGAGCAGCGAAAATGTTTCTCCAAAGTAAGAAGTGCAGAAATCCAATTTATCTGGCATAGTCTTGGTACTCTTTGTTGGGATTAATGAGAATCCTTAATAAGAACTAATTTCAATATTATATCTTGGGGCTGGGGATTTAGCTCAGCGGCATAAGCGTCTGCCTTGCAAGCAGGCAGTCGTGAGTTCGATCCCTGGTACCGATAAAAAGGAAAAAGACAAAAAAATTATATCCTAATGTATTCTTTTAAGACTGGGGATTTTTAAAATATTAACTCGGGTGAATAGGGATTGGAGCACTGTACTTAACACCTGTGTGGTAGATGCTCAGTGGAGTTCTGAGTAAATAAAAAATCTTTTTTCTCCATTAAATTTAACTCTTTCTAGTGGTTTAGTTAATATTCTTTTTTGATACTGAAATGTGTAAAGTCATTATACCACTATCTATGCCTTCGTATAGTAGTTAGATAACACAAAGACTAGTCCAGATTTATTTTAATTAAATACCATGACTCTGGAGCCCTTAATAATAAGGAATATGATGTCTAGAATGTATTTACTCTGTTATTTAAATGTTTACCAGTGAACTTGTGTTCTGTGTTTGTAAAAAAATCAGATAATGTTTTCTTTTGTACACAATTTGTTCTCAAAATAACATTATAAAAACACATTAAGAATCCTAAGTCAATATTTAACAAAGGCAAA